CTGCTGAGCAACTCCCCTTTGGACCATTTGCCGGTGGCATGCCTGGTCACGTAAGCTCACCGTGCGAGCACAAACTTCTCCAAGGTCTTGATGGTATCTGGAGTGTCTCCAATGCCATCAAACGTTACGCGCTCGAACATGAAAGCTCCAAACCAACTTCTTCGTACACCATCCCTGGACATATCTCGAAGAGCAAACACATGAGATGCCACTTCACCTACATAACTGGGATAAGAAGTACATTGGCATGATCAATCCTTGTCCTGTCAAAGGTGCTCGGGTTCTTCTCGGTCTTGCCAAGCTGTGCCCTCAGCATGAGTTCCTGGTATACAAGAGTTGGGGTTTCGACCAAAAGATTGGCCGGCAGATGGAAGCTGTCAAGAACATCATGTAAGTTTGAGGATCTCGGACAATGCAGAGTGAATCTAGCTAACAACTCAAAGCCTCCGCCCCACCTGCAAGGATATGGAAGAAGCCTGGCGCAACATCAAAGTGCTCCTCGTTCCCTCTCTCTGGTTCGAAGCTTGGGGTATCGTGACAATCGAAGCTCATCTCCGTGGTATCCCCGTCATTTCATCCAACGTAGGCGCGCTTTCTGAGGCTATGCTCGGGCTGGACCACATTGTTCCGGTGAATCCCATACAAGGTGACCGGGACGAAGAAGGCACATACATTGTTCCTGAGCAGGATCTGGCGCCTTGGGTGAGGGTCGTGAACAAGCTCATGAGTGACAAGCAGGAGTACGAGAGGCTTTCCAACAAGGTACGCAGTATAACGGAGCAGTGGATCAAGGGGTTGGATGAGACTGCACTGGAGAAGTGGTTGTTGAGTATGGCATCTCGCTCAACCCAAATTTGTATGTAAGGTGTATAGCGGAACCGAACGGTGGCTGAAAGGCGTGGATGAGAATGATCTGGGGAACTGGTTGCTAGGTTCAGCATCCTGGTCTAATCAAATGTAAATTGTTTTATTTTCATCAGAGCTCGTACAGTACCTTTGTTTTGAGATTAGGATCGCCAACATAGTATCGCAGCTGGTAGCGATGAGATAGGCATTAATTGAACCCAGATAGGTACGATTTGGTTACATGCACGTGCCAGATTGACATGTGAATAGTCCATTCTAGACTCTGTGCGTGGTGAATTAGGTAGGTTATGGTTCAATCTGATGTCATGATCTGCCATCTTGCGACTCCAACAAGTACATGATACATGAAAATTGATGTCATGATTAGCGTAATCGGTCACCGCGAGCAAGCCATTTGCTCTACCTTCATTCCTGACGTCAATTCAAAATCAGAGTAATTCTTCACATCACGCTAATGTCACCAGATATTGAATGAAAACACATGTATAAATCTGCTCCGCGAGACAAGAAATCTCCATCGCTCCCATCGCTCCCATCGTCCAGAGTCTAGGAATTTATGAAACCTCTTCGTAGGCTTTTTGCTGGGCAGAGGTCTTGCATTTCACGGCCCCCACTATCTCAGCTGCGATTCCCTCGCGAAACCCGCAAACTCCATCACTTTCGCTATTACAGCAGTACCTCCAGCACAATGTCCAAACTTGACGTCATCAAGACCGAGAGACTGTGGTGGAAGGAAAGCGTGGTGTATCAAGTAAGTTCCCGCAAGCGACCTTAGCTCCGGATGGCGGTTTAAAGGTTTTAGATTTATCCAGCCTCCTTCCGCGACGCGAACAACGACGGCCATGGCGACGTCCGGGGCATCATAGAGTCACTAGACTACCTGAAAAACCTGGGAGGTGAGCAGCCAAACCACCTGAACACCAAGCGATGTAAAGTGCTGATAGGGGAAAATAGTCGATGTCATCTGGCTATCGCCAAGTAAGCTGCATGTTTATCTTCAAGCTGAGTCGCCCTAATTATACCGCAGTATACAAGAGTCCCCAGGTAGACATGGGATACGATATCTCTGATTACAAAGATATCGACCCAAAGTACGGCACCTTGGCGGATGTTGACGAGCTCATCGCGAAGCTTGGGGTGCGTGACATGAAGCTAATGATGGATCTCGTGGTCAACCACACGTCAAACCAAGTGAGCCTAGCCAGTCAAGATCGAAGGCTCTTGAAGTTCTAACCACTAGACAGCATCCTTGGTTTCTCGAATCCAGGTCCTCTACCGACAATCCAAAGCGAGACTGGTACATCTGGAAGAAGGGCAAGCTAGACAAGGACGGAAAGCCTGGCCCGCCCAACAACTGGTGTCGTATCTTGGATACGACTGAGTCCGCTTGGAACTGGAATGAGAACAGACAAGAGTACTTTCTATCCTTGTTCTCCCCAGAGCAGCCAGATCTGAACTGGGAAAGCGAAGAAGTTCGAGCGGCCGTCCATGACATCATTCGATTTTGGCTGGACCGGGGTGTTCGTGGATTCCGTATGGATGTTATAGATCACATCTCCAAAGTTCAAGACTTCCCGGATGCCGAAGAGACGATTCCAGGTCAAAAGCTCCAGCCAGGTAACGTGTTCTATGCCAATGGCCCACGCTTGAGCGAGTATCTGCACGAGATACGTCAAGTGCTCAATGAGTACGACACCATCACGGTTGGTGAGATGCCGTTCATCAACGACGAGGACGAAATTATCAGCACTGTCGGACTACAGGGATCTTTAAACATGTTGTTCCTTTTCAAGATCCTGAATGTGGATAACCAACCTGGTCGCTCCAAATGGTCGTATCAGGAGTGGGATGCAACTGATATGGCGCGAATCCACGAGCGAACACAGCGCCTGATGATTGAAAGAGACGGATGGAACGCCATCTTTTGCGAGAACCACGACACGCCGAGATCCGTTTCGCGTTTCGCAGATGACAGCGAGGAGTGGCGCGACTATGCGGCAAAGATGATTTGTACCAAGCACACCACGCTTGGGGGCACAGAGTACATCTATCAAGGCGAGGAGCTGGGCATGCGCAACATCCCTGCTGACTGGCCCATCACAGAGTACAAGGATATCGAGACTCAGAACTATTGGAAAGCGTGAGTTTTATCCCCGCCAGGTCGGATTTCAATATTTGCTGACTTGCATCGACCAGTGCCAGCAAGCAGTACGCCAACAATTGGAGGAAGTTGGAATATGCCCGGAAGATGATCCAACTCAAAGCCCGTGATCATACGCGCACCCCAATGCAATGGGACAGCACCCCGAATGCTGGATTCTGTAAGGAAGACGTCAAGCCGTGGATGAGAGTCAACGACGACTACCCACGCGTCAATGTTCTAGCACAGCTCGACAACCCTCTGTCGGTCTTCTCTTACTGGAAGCAATGCCTCAGTTTCCGTAAGAAGCACAAGGATGTTTTTGTTTACGGCGGATTCGAGATCCTCGATCCACAGAACAGGGACGTGGTAGCGTTTCGTCGCTTCTCAAAGGACGAATGCTATGTGACTGTGACCAATTTCACTGGCAAGTATCTGGAATGGTCGGGCCTCGGCGATCACAAGGTTGAGGAGTGGGTTATTGGGAACCATCCGCTTGGGCCACACAACGATAATCTGGGAGGCACCCTTTACTTGAGACCGTGGGAGGGTATTATCGGAAGATGCTCGGAGGTTCATCCTTAGCCTGCCATGTAGTCTTTGAGACTCTGTTCGATAGAAGTTGGTAGTTTGAATATGATGCAAAAGTTATGTACTTTTTCGATGAGTTTCTTGTACATTTGCGACAATTCGACGTCTCTTGTTGCTGGGGTGTGAGGCAAGCTTGCAGCTGATGTTCTCTGCAAACGATGTCGTCTTTCCCGTCAAAGTGACGATACCAAATCATCTAACACTAGATTGGTCATTGACGCGAAACCCGAGCATCAGTCAATCTCTATCAGGGCGTCATATGCAGCATCGTTTCAACCCTTATTCATTCTGAATCTAACAAGGCCGGGGCTCGCTCCTTCCCTAGCCCGGCACTTTGATCCTAGGCAGCCCCGATGAAATTTGCGGATCTCTATAGCTACTACAAAATTAAACTTACAATAAGATGAGTCAATTAGGAGCCTGCATGGAAATTTGGTCGCCAATGTCGCTGGTGCGAGATGACGGCGCAAGAGGGAGGGTGTATAAACAATTTCGAAGTTATGACGTAAATCGGTGCGGAGTCACCTTACGCAGCACCTCGCGATTTCAATGCGACGACAAGACATGATATCATGAATGCGGTAGGGCAAAGAAAGGTGAGTGCCTGGGATCTGCCGCACAATAGATGGCCTGACTGATTTTCGTAGTTGTGGTGTAAGATCGGCGTCAAATTGACAGACTGCGCAGAAAACCTACACCCAAAGAAGCCTTAGGATCCCCAAAGTTCAATAACATGATCCATGGGCGAGCGGCGCACACGGGCGAGCGGCGCACCCCACCAACTTTTGCAACTTTAAAGCGATGCATCTCAACAACGCGATAATATTATTGCTAGATATTGATACAGTAGATTACTCTATATTAATAGTATCAGTCTTGCATGTGCGCGAGTTGTGCCCAGTCTCCTTGCACCTAGTGCAGCGCCTTTGAGCCCGCTGGCTGAGGCCTGATCGCGCTCCTCCTTGACGCTCTTCATGAGCAATCTGCTGGTCAGCCTCATTTTGAGCCAGTATATCCTCTCCAGCTCCCTTTGTGAGTACTCCATGCTTCTGTATACGCCTTTTAGAGCGCCGCCTACGCTCTGAGGCTGCGCTATTGGCCTTCTCAAGACTAGAGATCCGATCGCGCATCAGCTCAGCAGAGAGCATCATCACCTCGGCGCCCTTCTTTAGCTGGTCAATCGCCATAATAATTGAAGCTGGTGATGAGCTCTTGTGCTGGCGCACGCGCTCACGTATTAGGCTTGACTGAGCCTCAAGCTCACGCGCGTTGCTCGGCGTTTGAGCTACCCAGGGAGCCTCTGGCAGAGCTGCTGGAGGAGTAGGTGTACGCAGTTGTACATCTACCTTTGATAGAACAGCCTCTGGTTGTAGAGGAACAAGGCCTGCGCCGCGGAAGGCTGAGCAGATATTGGCTGGCGTGAACGCTTGATCAAATGCTGCCTTGAACGCTGGCAGAAACTCTAGCTTGGTGATGTGGTTGATGTGGTTGCGCATAAGGCTCTCCACCTCACGGCTGTACGCGCGCTTCAATGGCGAGAAGCAGCCAACATCAAGTGGCTGGAGTAGGTGAGATGAGTGAGGAGGCATACAGAGCGTATGGATATTGTTCTCCTTGCAGAGCTCCTGGAACTCTAGAGATTGGTGGCTCTTATGGCCATCAATAATAAGCAGGCGACGCGCGCCTACACTACGAGCCTGCGTGTGAGCGTTGAAGTGCTTTAGCCACTCAACTCCAAGCTCATTATTCGTCCAGCCATTATCGCTGACTGCGATCGCCCAGTCGCGTGGGATCTCAGCTTCCTTATACCAGGCTGATAGGTAGTACTGGCCAGCGAAGATGAGGAACGGTGGGACTGACCAGCCAGCAGCGCTGATAGCAGCGATCAGCGTTACCCACTCGCGATTGCCTGGCTGAATACTCTTCGGCCTGCCTCTCCTCTCTGCTCCTGTTATAACTAGCTGCGTTGTAATCTTGCCCATCATAAAGCCAGCTTCATCAAAGTTGTAGACGTCCTCATCGCAGATACCTAGCTCAGCCTTTGTCTCTTCTACAAGCTTAAACCACCTCTTTATTAATGTTGCATCCTCACAAAGAGCTCTCTGCCTATCGTACGCTTGGTTGAAACACGTCCGAAGACTGTCTGTACGCTTAACAAAGGTAGATGGCCAGTTGACTCCAACCTGCTCTCCACCACGCGCAGCCAGCAGCTTATCAGCCATATCACGTACAGCTGTGTAGGTAGGCGCAAATCCACGCAGATCTAGCTGAAGTATATAGCTAATAATCACCTCCTCTTCTCTCTGGGTAAGCTTCCTTGAGTTGGGCGGGCAATCGCGTCGGGCAGGTATACCAGCGCGTCGGCGGCGGAGCGTTGTTTCGGCTACGTTGTAGACTACTGCAGCAGTACGGGTACCTTGGATCTGGTGCGCATTAATAGATGAGATAGCAAGCTGAATATCTGCTTCATTTGATAGTAATTGAGTAGCGCTGCGTTGAGCCATTGTAGATTAAGATCAGTAAGGTGAGTAAAGTTGGTGGGGTGCGCCGCTCGCCCGTGTGCGCCGCTCGCCCATGGATCATGTTATTCAATTTTTGCGCAGCTTTTACACTTTTCATGATATTTACACTACTTGTTGACAAGACCATGTGTCTATCAGCTCTATTCATATCTGTAGTATTTCATATTCTCTTATTGTTATTCTGCTGATCAATGATGCGTTGTTAGCCTAAGGAAAGCTGTATCCACGAAGACGCATTGCGCCTCCAATCTCATTTTCTCTCTTCTTCATTGATCTTGAGTCCCCCTCACATAACATGGGATGGAGGTGTTTCCACTGTCAATCACACTGCTCAGACATCATCTTCCTTTTACATATTCGTTGCTTGTTTCCAAGTGTACATTGGGATGGGTAAGTCCATTTCTTGCCAGATGTTCCAATATCACGTTTCTGACATGCGCTATTATCCAGCCTGTCTGACTGGGGGACATAGTTGCAGAACCTGGACAAATCATCAGCTCGATCTTTGTTTGTCTTATAGATCTTTTACTTTCTATCTAATTTATATTGTGTTGGATATATACCTGAATAATGTCAACCACATTCATTCCTCATACATCACTTACCACGGCCCTTTTCGCATGTGACTTGTGCCTAGGCATAACTTCCTTCTCTGGATGTTAGTAGACTAACATGAGGTCACACAAGGGGACCATTGTATGCAACATGCGTATGTGGCTGGTGTCAAGGAAAGGAAGCATAATCCCATTGAAAATGCAGTATTATACTCTCATTGCGCATCCTTCAGTATTTGTACCTGCGCACCTAGTCCGAAAGGTAGTACCAATAGCCTTGGCGTATTCTAAACCAAACATTTATTCTTCCACAGTTCCGCTGGATTAACCCGTAAACCAAGCTTGTCTCTAGCCTTGCATCCTTACTCAAATACCTGTGAAGACCTCCTAAACCTAGTATAGTGCATCCGCGGAGGCCAAAGGCTAAGCGGTGAGCTTCGCGCAAGGTAGTATCTAGTAGAAGGGTGCCTAGTGTCAGATGTGCGTACCGTTCATGAGATTCGACAGCCAAGCCTTAAGGCCTCAGACTATACGTGCTCGAACTCGTGCTGAATCTGCCTGCAAGAGTGAATCAAGCCATTTTGTAGCTTAAGTGCATCTATATTAGGTAGTTTGGTATCCTCTAGAGTTTGCTAGTTGCTGGTGCTTAGACTCCGCAACAATCAATTCAATCCGGTCACTCTCCTAGACCCACTTACCTATCTAGGTAGGGCTTAAACTCCTATAGGTAACTACTAGGCTTAAAGCGGTAATCAATCAATCCAATCTGAACCTTCTAGGACCCACTTAATTGATTGTTGCGGACTGTGCTGGTGCTCGCGGAGGGTGTAGTAACTTTAGCAGCGTTGATAACGTGCACGTAGATCTGGACACAGATATCAGCTAGGAGGGGGACAAACGACAAAACGGCCATGATATTGATGGTAGTTCTTTTCTTGTTCTATTGCAGGAAGTGATGTCAGCGGCGCAATTTTGACAACAGAAAAGCAGACTGTGAACTGTTTAGCTCCATACTAGTAGTAGACTCAGACTCAAATGTATAGCTCGGTGCTAGTTGATCGTAGCTTGTTCAAGAGTGGAGATTGACTACATGAGTTTAGTTGAGGGTAACTTGCTCAATAGTGGTGAGTGTTTACGTTGGTTTAGTCAATCGGTCAAGAGTAGGGAGTAATTGTGTGGGTTTGGTTGATTGTTCGATAGTAGGCGGTAGTTACGTGGGTCTGGCTAAGGATGACTTGCCTGTTTTAGAATGGCAAGTGGTTGCGTATGTTTCGTTAATCATTCGAGAATGGCGGGTAGTTGCGGGAAGTACCATACGGTAAGTTATGTATTAGCGCGTCGTGCACGTCTGCGCCTCACTAGGCGCAGCTCGCTCTACTCTAAGGTAAACAATCACATATTTGAGATTCCACGTCCTTCTAGTTGTAAAATTCTATCATATGCTGCTTATGCAATCAAACCTGAGGCAGCCATATTGTCACTGCTCACTTGTCAGTCCTCTCCCTATACAACAACATTTGGGACAGGTTTCGGAGTCGCCTCCTCCGAATGCACAAGTGTCTCTGCACCATTCGAATCAGCCTGCTCTTTCTCTTCTTCCGTATTGTTTTTAAAGAAAGTCTGCATAAGCTTCTTCTCAATATCGATCCCCTTAGCCTGCCACTCTGCAGTCTCCTGAAACTCATCGAATGTTTCCCCAGCTTCCTTCGCACGTCTCCGCATCCCATGAGTCCTCAGTAACCACACTAGATGCGAAGCTACCATGCTCATCTCGATCACACAGCTGTTCAAATTGTCAGCGTCTTCCTCAGGAACTCTGGACGAAGATCAACCTACCAAAGCGCATACATCGTCCCAAAGAGCACGTCAAACTCATTCTGCGCCACCAGAGCCATGAGTGAGAAGAAAGCGCCGTTCCAATCTATCCCCAAAAATACAAAATCAATACCTACAACCCTCCCCCGTCTCTTGAGCAACTCGAATGGAATGGCAATATATCCTGAGATAAGGGTAAGGAAAGCAATGATACCGACTAACAACACAGCCCATTGTGCGCCACCCCGCGAATATGGACCCCGTATAGCGAATACAAGGCCAGCTTCTATACCCGCAAAGAGACATAGGAGACCTAAAAGAAGCAATGTCGCAGTCCAAGTCCGCCACTTTCTACACACACGTCAGCCCATGCATACACAACTCATCACCAACACACGAGGACGTACCTCCCATAAATCAAACACTGCACCCAGCTCACGCCACACAGCACGCAGAAACACTGCGGCTGTACGATAAGCGGAATATTGAACTGCTGCACAATCGCGTAGACACCAAATGGCACACCGCTGATGGACCAGAGCAGCATCATAGATTCAGGAAGCCCCACTGTGCTTTTAGTGCGATAATTGCGAACAATCTGTGGCACGAGTTGGACGCACCAGCATACTGTCCCGATTGTGCCGAGGATGTTGGCGGCAAGGGGGATGGAGGTTTGAGGCGCCATGGTATGGTGTAGTAATAGGGTATTGGCTAGAGAAGAGATGGCGGGGACGGACAAGTAGTAAGTTGTAGGAATGTGCAGTTTGTAATCATATGTGTATGTAGAGTATGTAGACAAAGACTTCTCGGCAATAACGCCTTGGATAACTCTAACTAAGGGATGTCTCAACCTAGTGGTCGAGAGAAAGGGTGTTGAGGAAGTAGCCACTCAGCCGTTCAACGCGTCTATCTATGCTTCTTGACCCGCTCTATTCTCTAGAGAAGGAATCGGTAGTCGTAAACGAGAGCGTTTCCAGCGTTCGTTTGATCCTACGAACAGTATTGATTTGCGTAGGCATGGGCACGCTACACGGGATATGGTAATAAAAGAGCATGACGTGCATAAAGCGGGTCGATCGCCCCCACTCTCGGGTTGCCGCCCACATCTCTGTGGCATCTCCGGTGTTGTTGAACAGACGCCGGTGGGTAGAAATATACACGTGACAGACAATGAAGAGGTAAATCAATAAACACAAACGTCTCTCCTGTCCGATCGAGCATGTGAGTATGTATAGGGAGAAGGGGCGAATAAGATCAAGCTCATCAATTGTATTAACATCCAATAACTAAGAAGGGTATCACAAGGTCATTATCGTCATTGAACATGTGCTGAGGTGACCAGACTTCCTAGTCATAGCGAACACCCTTTATGCAAGTCCGTTAGTGCTGCGCGCACTTTGCTTTCGCTGCATCTTCGCACGCTTCACTTCCTCATACCTATTCTCTCCGCCAGGAACACCGCGAACGACACTGCCTCTGCGCGAGTGTGGCACAGAACCACCTTGCTGAGCGATCGAGTTGGCTCTTGATCCGTATATACCTGGCAAACTGCTAACTCGCCGGCCACCGGTATCATCACGAGCAGCACTTAGTTGTTGTGCAAAAGGACTGCGCTTTCGCAGCACAGGCCCTTTCCAGTAGATGACATAGACGGATACGACGAGCAGAAGAGAGATTCCAAAGAGAATCGTCGACGCGTAGGCAAGATGGTTCTCGCCTCCAATGTTCTGAAAGAAAGGTGTCGCGGGAAGCGTGAGGACACCGGCAAGGAAGTCACGAGCCCAGCCGTTGCCACCGGTTGCGGAAGCTGAGTAGGGACCGTAGGCGCAGATCATATAATCAATGGTCGCCATGTAAATGGCATAGTTGGCGATACCGATGATAGCTGAGCCGACCAGGGAGCCCATCCAGTGAATTGGCGGGCCAGTTGAGGTCCACGCGAAGATTATTAGACCGATCGGGAGGCAGGGTGCCGTGTACAATAACCACCAGAGACGGGCCTCGTACTGCGAGCGCTCATCATCGGGGCGTTCACGTCGCAGGCGCTCGTTGCGCTTGATAGCCGGGAAGAAGGAGAACCACGCGATGAAGTAGCCGATACCGATAGCCACGAAAGTGAGACCAACGGCGAAAATAGGAAAGTCCCATTGCTCGTACACCAGCGCGTACGACTGGAGGAACATGAAGATGATAGCATCGGAGAAACCTGATAACAGAGATAATACCAGGACGATGGGTTCAGTGACGAACATGCGAAAGGGCCTGATCCAGGTGGTGAGAATCTCGTGCACACTGAAGCGCTCCTTGGACGTCTTGAGTTCGTTTGGTCCCCAGATGTTGTTCGGCTTGCCGTTCTTGTCACCCTCAGTGCGACGCTTCTTGGCGATGCGATCCAGGAGAATCGTGGTACGTGTCTCGGGAACAAAGATAAAATGGGCGATTTGGACAGCGACGCCGAAAATCAGCTGTATCCAGATGTTCCACCTCCAAGCAAGGAACTGTTCGACGAAGCCACCAACGATAGGTCCGAGGACTGAACCGCCGACGGACGAAAAGACGATGAATGCAACGGCGTACTGCTGGTTGTCCCTGCAGGAATTAGGATTGCGTGTGAAATTGAATAGATGCACTTACGGCTCCCACATATCGGCCACCATGGCTAGTGTGACTGAACCACCTGCAGTGGAGAGACCACCAAGTGCACGGAATGCAAGGATAGTCCCAAAGTTGGGCGCGATGGCCACAGGAATTTGCCAGATGTTGACGAAGAACAAGCTGAGCTGGAGGATAGGCCATCGTCCTAACTCTTCACTCCAGGGTGCCCACAGCTCGCAGCCGAACGCATATGTGATCAAGAAGATGGCTGCACCAAGACGTGCGGCTTGCGCACTGACGCCGAACTCTGCAGAGATACCTGTTACGCCATTGGAGTATAATGAAGTATTAAAGTTCATGCTGACTTGTACCATAAAGACGATACTAAGTATGGTCCATTTCTTCCAAGTGGGGAAGCAGAACCCAAGCTCATCATAGCAGTCCTCCTCGGTGATCTCGTAACGGTCGAATGTACCGTACTTCGCATAGTGTTCGCGGTCGGCAGCGGTGATAGCGTGGTCCAACGGGTTCCCAGTGTGGTGCTGATCGAGATCAGATGCAGTGCTCTTCTTCTCAGCATCGATAGCCTCGTTGCGATTCACAAGATCAGGGTCATGGACAGCAGGCTTTGTTTCCGCAGCGGAAGCCATATTGTCGCAGACAAGGCGCGCGGGCGTTGTCGACAGCTTGAAATCCAAATCTGGGGAAACCCAAAAACGTGGGGGTTAGGCAGGGGAAATCCGGGGTAGAATGAAGAAATTACCACATCACGGTGCGCGACAGAAGGAACTTTATAATGTAGCGCGGGCCCGACGTGAAGTAGTGATGGCGTAGGTGCGCGATCAAGAAGCGCGGTGCATATTGTGCATGTCATGAGCCACATGCTCAACCATGGACGTCATACTACATCCTTCAAAGCTTACGGGCTGTGCCGCTATGGCGCGTTAGTCTTACCTAGGTAGATCCATGGATGTCGCTGGACACTATTCCCATACGCTCCCAGACTAGGCAATGTAGCAGTGAATGTGGGTCAAAGACTAAGCAAATAAACCTAAAGCATGTTTAAGAAAGAGGCACGGGTTGGGAGTTGCCATCGCTGTATTGTGCGTAGGATATCACGACACGTCATCATTACATTCTTTCACCGGACGCACTTTACCCTCGTTGCACGCGATGACATTAACGACAACTTGGCGCTCCAGCCTCCAACATCCTAAGCACTCAAAGTATCTGCGAAGCTCAAAGGGAGGCGCACCAAGCAGCGGCGATCACCCTTGCCAAGTTGCGCCATATGTCTTAGGTCCTGTTTATCGATTTTTGTCAATTTCACTCAATATCACGCATGACGTCAGACCGTCTTCCGCTTTAGGCCGGGTGGCCTCAGCTGCCTTATCCGCTTTACGCCCCCATGGCACGCACAACACCACAACATCCGCGGAGCGCCATCACTGTCATTACTTTTGTGCTCCACCTCCGTCTTTACCCATTTTTTGCACGTTTTGCAAGGGGGTCCTTGAACATGGTGGATTTTTGGGCGTTGTCTATACCTGTTCTCGCCTTTTCGCGGCGGTCGGATTACTTGTTCTGCAAGCTCCGACACCTCCGAGGGCTCTGAGGCTCATTCAATATCGGACCACCGATGATAACTTGTGGATCAAATGGAAGCAATGATGAGATCTTTGGCGAGATGCACATCGGCAGTAGATTCGGTACTCAGTCCCTTTTTTGCCCCTGCAGTAGGGCCAACGGCGCAAACGCCTTCCCTATCACACTTTCCCAGCTTTGAACAAGTGCATCACATCTTGTCCAACTTGTCTCCAACAATTTCTCATGATCATCAACTTTCTTTTCCAGCCAACCCTCCCTGTCGTTCGCTACTGCAATTATTTCATCTCCTTTACCTGTATACTTGTACTCGCTCCATGGCGCCCTGCCATTTGCGAACCCAATCCAATGTTGTGAATGTTGCGTCGATATTTGCTTGAACCTCTGACTGGGGTAACGGAATTGGAACGTCTTGAAGACGAAGTAAACATCTACCCAGTGATGAGGCTGTTGGTATAGTGGGCTTCCCGGGAAGGGGTTACGAACGTCGAAGACGTAGCGATACACCTTTTTCTGAGTACGTGTTGTGAGATACTGGGATAGCAGGTGTGTGGGTGCTGAGATGGTTAGCGATGGACTTGAGCAAGGAACCAATCGTGTTACCGTCGAAAAATACGTCGCCAATCCATCGTAGGCCTGCCGTAAGGAACAGGTTCTGGTCCATGTCTGGCGTTATATCATAGACCTGACTGACTATTTCGGCACTTTTTTTACCCGACTGCGCAGCGATTCCGTACAGAAATGCCCCTGGAGTGATACCGGCGAACCTTTCCGTCATCGTCGTACCCTGTTTTTATAGTTGAGTTTCGTCTCTTTCATGTAGCGGGTTGTCATCTTACCTCAAAGCTTGTGGTCCCCAAGATAATCTCATCAACCCACTCGCAATTGCCGATCAACTCTGGGATTCTGTCCCAAGTGATTGAACCCGCGTCATCACCAAACCATTGCTCATCCTGCACGGATAGCCACAAGGACCCACCGCTGAAGAACTGGGCTGAAGCTTGCACAAGCTTTTGGGCTTCCAAATCCCTCAGCTGTTTCAAGCCAGCCTCTCCCTTTTCTTCGATTCCCACACTCTTCAGAAACATATTGTATATCTTGTTCGCATCTGCGGGTAAAATTGGTGCGGTCGTCGGCCCAATGACCCCTGACATGAGAATCGCTCTTTGGAAAAGTGAGCCTGAGGGCGGTGGAGAAGACAGCATATGAGCACAAATGGACATAGAACCTGCAGATTCTCCGAACACTGTAACCCTATTTCTATCTCCCCCAAACCCTCCAATGAACTTCTGGATCCAGAGAAGAGCATTGCGCTGGTCATTCAGCGCAAGGTTCCCATTGCCGGGCTCTGGCGTATGCAAGTAGCCGAATGCGCCCAATCGATACTGAATGCTTGCCCCAATGACGGGCTGAGAGTCAAGAAGCGATTGTTCGACCATGATTGCTGTGTTGTGCTGCTCGTCTATTTTCCCGAGGACGAAACCACCGCCATGTATGTACACCAGAACAGGGAGTTTAGAAGAAGAACCAGCAGATTGAAGGCAGGAGATTGGTATGTTGAGTTGCAAAACCAGACATTCGAACTCGTCTGTTGGAGCTGGAAACACTTCTCCCGGAAATGGTCCACCACCAGCACCGTCTTCAGGGATGATATGAGGGCAAGCGTACCTGGCAATTCTTAGTCCTGAGATGTATTGCATGGTCTCTAGAATGACTTTGGGGACAAATTTTAGCTGTTACCCTGGTTGTGTGAAGTCTGCCTTCCCAGAAAGCCCCTCCGCAAGGACTGATTGCTTGAATCGACCTGGGATCGTAGCGAAAGTTATGGCACGAAATTGGACCACATTATCTGGCGCGATGGTTCCAGTCATGGGCCCTAGTTCGCCATGATGGAATTTGAACGTAGGCATTGTTTTAGAATGAGAAGACATTTCTGATTACTGTTATAGCGTAGGTCGCCGCCAATAGAAGATATATACGTATGAGGAGGAAAAAGTAGAGATATGGGATGTTAGCCTTTTTATCGTAGCTGCCTGAATCTGGAGTCTAGGTCCGACAAGCCGATGGGATGTGCATAATCTCATCTACATACAGGCAAACACGAACACGTCGACCATTCTAGGTGTCAGACGAATCTGAGGGGAAGCCTTCGCTGACTAATTTCCGCAGTTGATAGGGTCGGTGACAGCCAACGAGGTGCGGACGAATGTGAAATGCGCACATCGAGAGCTCTTCGGGCCTGCTGAAATGTGAGCACACTTTAAAGACCATAAGCACTTAGATAGAAATGTGTGCCCAAGTGGGACATATGCCGCATAGGAAGTCGTAGTCCACTGCGAATTCAACCCCGCCGAATGGTAGATATACTAAGCCGCGTTCATACTAGCGTGATTTGTCCAATCCCGCTCGCTTCGTGGCAGGTGACAGGGTCGACTTGATCCTTTCCCACAACATATCTGACCTCATCATATGGTCATCATCGCTCATTACATAAGCGATAACGTGTACTCCACCAATTTAGTATGCTATCAAGGGTATCACGCGTGACGGATATGAACTGAAAAGTAGTGATTGATTAGTTACAACATTATTGACATACTCAATTCTTCACCTCTTGCGCGTCCGAAGCAGGATAAAAGGAAGGGTATCGTATCAAAACTTTTCGAAAAGCATATAACACGCGTATTATCTAGGTAAAATGAGGAACCCACGCCGCAAACTTTAAATCAGCCCAGGAGAACCAGGGGGTATGTACACCGACGTAGGCGCCTTGTTGTCGTAATTAGTACCTTTCGACGCGGCAATTAGAGCTTCCGACTCATCGGCAAGGTAAGCTGGATTACTTTCGAAGCGAGGATCCAGCCACACGGCATTCGGATCCTTATCCTTGATCATCCTTTTAATAGTCTTGGGCTTCTTGTGGCCTCCGATGTAAAAAACAACTGCGCGAATAGCGCCAAAGATCGAAACAAGCGAGTAAAGTTGTTTATACAGCGGATAAGTGGTGGCGGCCCAGAATCGTGGTTGTAGGTCGGGTCGGTGTCGCGCGTTGATATACTTGAAAGCAAGGATAGGAATTGTCGCCAGCAGCATAAGTGGTAAACCGAGTCGCCAGAAATTTACATCACCACCCATGGTGACGAAAACGGGAATGCGCACCCAATCTACGATGATGGTAGCGATGGAGTAGAGATGAATGAACTTTTGAGTGAATATGCCACATGGAGTCATTTGGCCATTGAGAGAAAACAGCATGCGGTCGGCGAATGCGATAAGACGTCCATGACGGCCCATTTCCCAGGAGCGGTATCGCTGATTCCACCAGTTGAGGCCTGGCCCAAGGACGGTAGTGGGAACTTCGGTTTCGAGCACGCATGTCGCGTCGAAAGCGATGCGCTTCTTCATCTTCTGCATCGATAGGCCCGTGTTGACGTCTTCGGCGATGAAATCAATCGAGTGGTAGTTGCTAATAAGGTCGATTAATGTCTCTCTTTCGCAGAACCAGCCGGCGCCGTGAGGATACAGTACTCCACATATCGACGACTCGGCTAGCTTGGTAAGACCGGACATCTTGTATTCGCAATCTTGCCATGCGACCAGGCAGAGTGGTACATCGCCGTTGGCGTCGACAGCCTTGAGGGGGAATGCGCAGCCTTTGGTGACTTCGTCCATCTTATCGATGGGAGGTCGGAAAGTGGATGGGATTGAGACATCGTCATCTACAGTCATGATCCAATCGTAGTTCTTAGCAGCCATTGCGCCAACCAGCTGTGCAGCATTCTTGCTCCCGATAGGTGACCAGATATAGTTGATATCGGGGTGCTCTCCGCGGACGAAGTGACGGAACTTAGGAGAAGTAGGATATCTGGTGCGTCCATTGTCGACGACAAAGATATCCTGCGGACGAAAGTGCGCAAATGCGCTTTTGAGTACCTTTCTCGTGGCGTCATGGTTACTATTGTGACAAGGAATCACAAGTGCTGTACTGTAACTTGGCGCGGGCTCGAGGATGGTGACAAATTTCTCCACGTCTACTTGCATATCTGGAGCTGGCTTTTCATCGGGTGGGGCGACTGGAGGGTGAAGAGGAGGTACACGAGCAACTAGTAGAATGACGGTGATCATTATTGGCTCAAGGCCAAGAACTATGATCAGAACGGGCAGCATGTTGCTTCTTGTAATCTCCATAGACTTCTTTATCCAGCGAAAGTAACGATCCGAGATCGCGACTCCAACGGCAAGAGCAGCTACCACGGACAGGATGACGTATTTCTTCCAGGTGAATGGCCAGAACACCTCCCGGATGTCAATCATCTGCCATATTGTCCTTGGGTGGACATGTCTCAAGACTTTCCGCTTTATCGCCGAAAAGGCCTGGAAGATTGGTGTTCGTCGGTCAAGTTTGGGTGCACCTTGCCGTAGGGGAAGCGATTCGCTGATAGATGGCGCAAGACTTGTTGTAGACGACGAGGGTATTCCATATGAGTATGGCAAAGATTTTCCGTCCAAGCTAACCGACCTCGGGGAGCCATGAGAAAGAAATGCTGGCCTTGGCAAATGTAATTCATCTTGTGGTTGAACAGTGTTAGCCCGTGAACAGATCTCCACCCCGAATCTTGTATGAGCGTCTTTTGGAGACGCAGGCCGAATGATTGACACGGCATCCATATCCACGACCGAACTTGATTTGACTGGTAGGATATCCATTCTTGTAAGATGGAACCTCTTGGAATCTTTTCCGGTAATAATAGTACAAGCAATGATCGTTGAATTTAGGGAAGAGTAGGAACGCGATGTTCGACATATCACGTACTTTTGAGCTTCTCATACTCTAATTCTGCAAGTCGATATGCAACTCTCAAACTATCGATTTTCTATTTCTCATGTTGACAACGCAGCAATGCGAGCGGCTTGCGACTTAGTCCTGCGCCACATCTCCTGCTCTGGAACCTGGCCGATTGGGGTATGTCTATGCTGAAGTCTCGTCATTCTAATTTTGACTACTTCTTGAGGTCCGTGAGGCATCAAAGATTGGTGGCGGGCATGGCACTAGCTGAATATCTAGGTACCTATTCACTGACGAGGCTTGTCACAACGTCTTGTATAATTTGCCTTCGCACAGCGCTTTCTTAGACAAGCCCCTTGGCATACTAAACTTGTTCTGCTAGGTGGAGTATGGCTTCACTTTATTCGGTAGCTTGGGGAGTAGAAGAGGAGTAGAAGAGAAGTGTTTGCTAACGTTTGAATCCTTTTCCTGAGTACCGCTGACAGAGGGCAAGGTAATGCCTGCGTCCGACGCCTCGGCATCCCGGAACAAGCACTCCACACATATACTGTACCTATACATCCCCGGCATATATATACCAGCTCTCTGGCTAAGCGGCTTGGCTTTGAGTCGCTTTACGCTTGCGTAACCATAATTTCCACTTTCTGTTACGCCTCAACGTATCACACCGCTCGTTTCTGCAGGTGAGGCGCAAACGATGCGTCTTACAGCGCTGTACGACGATTGAAAATAGTGTACGATGAATAACGAGACCGTTCCGACTACCACATCGTCATCCCTGTAAACACTAAAGATGGCCTCCATGATCCACTTCAATACTCCACCAATTCATCTTCTTTCAGATGAATACCTGAAGTCATTTGCACATAATTAAGCTGTGGTGCATCGCGTATTAACAAATTTCGGGTGAAGCATTAATCGATATGCCAGATTTCTCTGCCTACCAAGTTATGCGCGGAGGCACGAATCCCTGATATAGTTCTATCGTACCATAAGCCATAATTTGCTGGCAAATGTGGGGGCGACATGTCGTGCACCCAAAATCAGCCGCTGTCTCCAGCTGACAAGGCTACAGGCCCTTGTGGTGATGGAACCATCACACCAGATATTTTATGTGTCATTGTCTGCGAGACGGAGGCACACTTCGACTTTCACGCATTGGATTACAAAGACTCTTGGCTACTACTGCGCATAGCAGGATATGCAAAGAAGATGGCTAACGAGCTGAAGCAGGCTCAAATTGGATATCGCGTCCTAACGCAGAAATACTATACATGAAGTAACGTACCTAACGGGCGAGTGGGCCACACGGGCGAGTGGGCCACCTGCGCTAAGACCCCATTAAAACCACGACTGTACACGACTATATAGCACCGTCAAAGATAGTAAATAGAAATCGTAATAGGCTATTCTACTCAGAATCTATCGCTGCTTCTTGCCTACATGTGCGCATATTATGTCCTGCCTCGCCGCAGCGTCCACAGCGTCGTTGGCTAGGCTCGCCTGCCTCAACGCGCACTCTCTTCTTCGCCTTCTTCCTATCACTACATGCCCCAAACTCCTTAAGAGTCGTCAGTCGCACGCCCTCATCAATTGTTAAGGTCCCTTGCTGCTGTAAGCGCTTCCTTTTATATGATCTACGCTTACTTGAGGCCTCGTTGGCGGCTTGGAGCTCAGCGTTGCGCTTGGTCATTAACACCAGAGAATGCGCTATCATCTCTGCACCTTTTGACAGGCTTTTGATCGCCTCAACCATATACGTAGGTGAGCTATCTACATGTCTTCGAATCCTCTCTTGAATCAGCTTTGATTGCGACCCAAGTTCTAGGGTATTGCTTGGAGTTTGCGACTGCCAGGGACCGTCCTCGACGGTAGGTAGCAGTGGAGTGCGCAGCCGCACGTCAAGCGTCGATATCACAGCCTCTGGATTAAATGGGACTAAGCCAGCGCCTCGAAAGCTTCCTTGTATATTGGCCTTTGTAATCGCAGCGTCAAAAGCGCCTTTAAAGCACGGTAGGAACTCTAGTTTAGTGATATGGGTGATCTTGTTGCGCATTAGATCCTCGGCTTGGCGGCCATACGCTGTCTTCAAAGGCGAGAAACACCCCACATCAAGAGGCTGTAGTAGGTGCGACGAGTGAGGAGGCATGCAGAGAGTAATAATGTTGTGATCCTTGCAGTACTGCTGGAAATCGAGCGAGTCGTGGCTCTCGTGGCCGTCGATAATAAGCAGACGATAGTTTCCTACAGTCCTCTTCTTTGTGTGAGCGTCAAAGTGCTTTAACCACTCTAGACCAAGCTTGTTTGTTGTCCAGCCGTTCTCAGAGACTGCAATAACCCAGTCGCGAGGTAGGTTATCTTCCTTGTACCAGGCAGAGAGGTGGTTCTTGCCTTTGAAGATGATAAAAGGTGGGATTGCCCACCCAGTCGCGTTGATACCCTGGATCACTGTAGCCCACTCGCGATTGCCCTGCTGAACGCTCTTTGGTCGTCCTCGACGCTCAGAGCCTGTGACTACTGCTCCAGTTGATATCATGCCCATCATGAAGCCAGACTCGTCAAAGTTGTGGGTGTCCTCATCAAGGATACCGTACTTGGCCTTTGTGTTCTCCACAAGTCGGAACCAGCCTTGTATAACCTCAGGATCCTCACAGAGGGCTCGCTTGTAGTCATACTTGCGATTGAATTTGACCTTAAGCTCAGGGCGACGTTTGACGAAGGTTGCAGCCCAGTTCTGACCAACAGGGTCGCGGTGGCGCTCAGCCAACAAAGAATTAGCCATATCCTGCACAGCAGCAAGTCGGGGCGGAAATCCTCGCGCGTCGAGGTCAAGGATATGCTGGACAATTACATCCTCCTCTGTCTTAAGGAGGTTCATTGAGTTAGGCGTACAATCGCTCCGAAGAGGTATTCCAGCGCGTCGGCGCCCAAGAGTTACTCGAGATACGTTGTAGATAGCTGCAGCGCGTCTCTGCGACAGCGTCGCGTCGCGTTCGATAGCCTTGAGAGCAAGCTGTAATCGAGCCTCTTTTAAAGCTGGTAGATTGTTTTGTTGTTGGCTCATTGTGAAAGTACTGTAGGTAACAGTATGTTTTGGTGGGGTCTTAGCGGAGTGGCCCACTCGCCCGTGTGGCCCACTCGCCCGTGAGGTACGTTAATTCATTGATCTGAGTTTTCGATTTTATTGTGAACATCAGGGAAGGGGATTCTTACTTACAGCCTGGCCAAGATGAAGTAAGAACTACAATTTCCACCCCGTCCTTCATCTGAGAAGGCGCCACTTCTGTCGCTTGTGTCTAGTATATCTTCTGGATGCGATACCCCTGCATCCGACACCGATGAACCGTGGGCTTTCGGCCCATCCACAGGCTGTCCTCCTCGAGTACATCACGTAATAGTCGTGGGGGTTCAGGTATACCGGCAGCCATACATCACTTGAGCTTCTTCAAGCTGGCTTTAATGTCGTCGTCGTCGATAACCTAGTAAACTCGTACCTTGCGTCGTAACATTGGAACGTATCAATGGACTACGAGACGAGTAATGAGCCAAAACAGCTTCGAGCCCGTTGCTGGTATTCCACGAATCCGACTACCGAGACGAGCACGCAATGTCTACTATGTTCAGGCAGTATGACACAGCTATGGAGAGTGTCATCCACTTCGCTGCACACAAGGCAGTATCGGAGAGTATCAAGGATCACCTTTTGTTCGCTATTGGATAGGCTCAATATAAAGAAGAAGATTCTCTCCTCGTCAGCAGCCGTATATCGAGAGGTGATATCGGAGACCTGTCTGCGAATAAACAAGGATCATTGCGTCCATGACATCCGTGAGTGGGCTGACAGGTCAGACAACAAGCACGTTACACAAAGCGGCTGCAGAGCGATCTCGAATCCGTTTGGCCGTTCAAAGTATATGTGAGAGGCTGTTTTGGACGACCTTGCAGTCTGAGACCCAGAATGGTCAATTGTGGTTTTGCGCTACTTCAATCCTATTAGCTGTCATGCTTCGGGGAAGCTAAGTGAAAACGCCAGAACCTCATGCCCAACTTGCTGCGAGTCATAAATGGTCAAATCCTGTACCTGAGCATATTCAGCACGGATTGAGATACAAAAGACGGAGCGCAATAAGATTTTTATCATCGTTACCGATTACGCCCAGGCGGCGCACTCAGAGACGTTAGCGAGTCGCGGCTGGAATGTGGCTTCCACACGTACAACCTCGGTACCGGAGTAGGAAACACGGTAAAGGATGTTGTTACAGCAATGCAAGCCTCCCTAGGGAAGTGTGTTTGCAACAAAGGAGGTTGGACAACGTGCTGGTGATGTTGGTGTTGTGTGGCGGACCCTGCACGGGCAACGGTGGAGCTTGCATGGAAAACGGAAAGGTCGATTAATGACTGTTGCAAGGATTTGTGCCGCTCTTTCCAGCTCGACATGATGGCTTCTGGGCGCTTACTGGGATATGCTGTCAAGTAAGAAAAGTCGTGCCCGTTCGGGTATAACAGATATGTAGCGCCAGGGTAGCGGGTATGCTAGTGTAATCCGATGTCACATGACATGCCTAGGCGCCATTTCACACCTTGTGTATGGACTGACCCATATATACTTAGTCGCTTAGGTGCTTGGCATATGCAGGAGATTTTTTCAAAGCCACATCGGGTCTTTTATACGACCACCGCAGCGCCACTATCCCCCTTTGCCACGTCTCTGTGGCCATACGTTGCGCTTTGTCTATAAGTAGCACAGCCTTGTCCCACCCTGCGCTTCCGTCAGATCAAAGCTTTGGTGCTAAGCTCTCTTCCTTGATGTAGGCCCTGAACATCCTTCCGGATGACCGCTAGACCGCCTCTTAGAAACCTGAAATCCATGCATATGTAACATGCCATGTCCAGCTACTAAAAGTTAACGGCCACAATTCTGTGGCGAACTTGATCCCCGACAAAGCGCCAATATACTTTGACATGTTTTCTAGAAAGATATTATTGTTGGTATTCAACGCCTCCTTGTGCGTTGTTGCGGTCACAGCAGAATGCACAAAGTTCTCGACCAATGGAACGGTAGCAGCGACATATGACTACTACCGCTTTTTTGACTTCAGGCATCTCCAAGGGAGTCTTGATGAGACTGCAGCTTCCTCGTCATCTCGAGAGAATGATGTTAAGATTACGGAATCTTCTAAAGGGAAGTCTAAGATTGTTGCGGCTGCACCATGGAATGCCGATTGGACTCCACGCGACTGGTTTCGGCCAGCTCCAAAGGAGAACACGATAGATATGTACTACACACCTTCACGCATAACTATAAGTAAGAAATACCTGTCTCTACAACCCTGTAGTGCTCACTGTGGATAGACAATGACGCCGAATCTGCGAAGGAACAGTCTACTTACCTCACTCTACACACGACACGACTTCCCAACGGAACTCAGCTCGCTGCTGAGCTGGACTTTGCGGAGCACAATGCCACCTTCGCCTCTATGCGTATGCTCGCACGGATTCGTGGAGCCAGCGGAGCAGTTGCAGGCTTCTTTACGTACCATAACGACACAAGCGAGTCGGATATAGAGATCCCAACCGGAGGTGCCTCGAGCGAGCTGCACTGCTCGAATCAGCCAACGACCGATCCCGATACAAATATGCCTATCGAGGGAGCAACATTTAATGTATCGTTGGAAGCACACGAGCCTGCGACTGCATGGAACAGTTATCGAATGGACTGGACATCCGGACGTAGCGTGTGGTACGTCAATGGTATACAGTCGGCTGACACAGAGGTCAATGTACCGGATACCGAGAGCAGAATAATTCTGAATCTGTGGAGCAACGGCGGAAACTTCTCTGGGCGGATGACTACTGGCAGTGAAGCCTGGTTTGACATCCAATGGGTAGAACTGTTGTTCAATACGACTGCTAGCCCAAGTTCGCAAGAGAAAGGCACAGCGTGTTCGGTAGAGAAAACGCCTGGATCTCCCGTACCGAGCTCCTCCGTTCGCCCCAAAGACAGTGTTTCTGGATGTCTATGGTGGGTGGTTGGATTGGCGTCGGCTGTGAGCTTGATGGCATACATGTAGCTCACAAGAAAAGACAAGTTACTGTGGTGTCATTGGTTTCTGGTGCAGAAAACGCCCGTCTCATTTTCTTTCGAGCTGATTCCACGATTATCTCTTGAGAGTTCGCCTTACTCCTGACCTATTACCTTGAGTCGTATTGGTGTGCACCTACCTAGGTAAGTAGGCATAGGTGGTTGTAAATATTGTGGAACTCGGGCATTGCGCTCGCCCTCCAGGCAGGAGGATAGCCCTCTGCGAGACGTTTCGAGCTTCATTTCTTATCATGATGGTATTTAGCTCAAAGGAATGAGGGTTTGTGCTAGGCAGGATGCGTGCGTCTGAGGATTCAATGATACCCCTTAGAGTAGCCGAGGTTAGTGGACTTGGCATGACGTCAGAGACTTGCCGCATCTGTGCTTCACGACCCAGCATCTTTACGACACATTCATTCCATCTAACTACACGACGATATCTTCTACTGCTCTATGTATGCTGCTTGAAATTTCAACCTACATATCGCGTACATCAGTTTCAGGTACAACGATTTACAAAGTGCACGCGGCTTACAACATTCCCAACCCCGTCTACTTCGACGGTAGATGTCTGCAAAACCCCGTTTTCTTAGTTGATTATTGAAACATATTTCCTGCCGGGTCAATATAAGTGCTCCTAGTCCGACATAAATGCATCTCATGAACTTGATCCCTACTATTCACCATTCATTCCGATGTCCGAATCGTACCTAGCTTTCTTCGTAAGTGATGGAGAGTGTATCTCGGACGCTTGAGGCTGCTGTGGGCCTCTTATACGTCCCGGCAATGGGCGTAGGTTGTAAACTCTTGTGGAGCCTTCCTCCTCGTCTCGCTTTCGCTTTTGTGACGGTGGGTATAGGCTGATCACACAAAGCAGTTCAATCCATTGTTTGATGTCTGGGAAATTTTCACGCCGCTCAGACGTGTAAACTGCTCCTGGGAGTAACCATTGCTCATTCGAAAGCTCTTGGTCTATCTTCTCGATTTTTAGCCCTTCGATGAACCGTTGAGCTGTTTGCGCGCGTGACTGTTCCGTGCAGAGTTGCTATCAGTCAGTTCAGTCAGTCCGGAGCTCTCTGGACTGACTGAACTGACGTCCTGAGGTCACTGAACTGGACTGGACTGACTGCCAAGACTTTTCAATTAAACTAAAACTGACTGACTGAACTGACGTCGCCGCGGCCTGCGGACTGACTGGACTGACTGAACTGAGTTACCTGACGTCGAACTGAGATAAATGCTCCTGTACTTTTGAGATTTCTTCCTCTGATAGTGTGCGCGCTAGCCCAGAAGCTGAGGTAGTTGTTGGCTGTATACCAAGCCTCTTCCAGCTCTTCAAGCTCTGCAAAGCTGAAATAAGCTCTGGCTTCATATGGAGTCTCCGGGTGCCTAACATGTCGCCAAGCTCGCTGAAAGTCCGCTCACAGTCTGCCGCTGCTGCTGGTATTGTTAGGACGTCAATAGCGAACTTTGAGAGTATAGGGAACTGCCCAGCAACTGACTCCCAGTATAGAAGCGGATTAAGAGACAGCCAATCCTCCTCAGCTAACGCTGGTTGCCGCTTCCATATCTCATACTCATCCTCAGCAAGGCTTGCCTCTAACTGCCGTGTGCTTTGCTCAATTGACGACTGTAGAAAAGCTGATCGCGACGTTGAAATCCCTAGCCGGGGCTTCTTACGCGGCGGCGTTACAGTGTGAGCTGAAGTGGCTGCAGAGTCCTTCCGCCCCTGCCACATGCGCAGGAATGCCCGGTGGTTATTGTCAAGCCAGCCGTCGCGATAGTGGACACCGTCACGGGCAGTGACATGGGTGTCAGGCACCTTCCAGAGCGCTGAGAGGTGGTGTTTGTAGTGCGGGTGTAGTATTGTAGCAGTGTAGTAGACAGGCGCGTTATCGAATTTTGCGTAGTACTCAGCAAGCTTACAATGCGCAAGGTTAACGTTTGTAATAAGATGATCTTCAGGCGCATCTAGATCTTCGTAATTTACATCCTTAAGGCGGTCTTTGAGAGCCTCAAGCTGGTCAAGAAGCCACTCAAACGTTACTAGAACTTCCCATATAGCGCCGTGTCGGCCGTGTCGGCCGCGACCTTCAAGTAGCCGTGTAGCTTCGGCAAATGGCTCAAGGAGTCGAATGTATTCTGTTATTGTCGCCCAGTCCTTGCCGCTTAGACCCCCTTCGCGTATATATAACCGTGGCTGGGCAGCAGGGAGCTGCTCACGATTCTTCCGGCGTCGTGAGGTTGCTGTTGCAGCACTATGCTCCTCAAGTTTACACTCAATATAGCCATCGATAGGGCCGTGTAGCTCAGCTGCACGGACAAACGTGTTGAAATAGCTATTCCAGCGTGTCTTAACAGGCTTCACAAGCTGCCGGATGTGGGGTGTAACACCTAGAGACTCTGCCTCCTCGCACTGTAGGCGCTCTAGTAGTTGTCGAGTTTGAGGCGTACAGATAGACGCAATCACGTCAAAGAGGACGCCAACAGGACCGTATTTGCGCCACTCATCCATGTACTTCTCCTCTTCCTCAAGGTGTGCGGCTTCATTCTCGTACGCGCTACGGTCTTTGCCCCAAATTACTAATTGTGCGCTTAGGTTGAGTATATGGCAGCAGCACCGCAGCCGCCGCTCGCTTGCGATAAAGCCAAACTCCTCTGCTAAGGACTCAACTGCAGTATCATTGTTACTTGCGTTGTCAAGCACAAAGTACCCAACCCTCGCGTTGTCAACGCCAAATAGCCGAAGTATTGTTGTTGCTGCAGCGGCAATATTATTGCCAGTGTGCGCCCCGTGTAGCTCAGGCAACCCAAGCAGGTGGTCAACTAGCTTGCCCTCGCTGTTAAGGTAATGTACGCAGAGGCCAGTAAAAGCATACTGCCCACCAGTTGAAGTCCAGTTGTCGAATGACACGTGTATAAGCGACCGGGCTTCGCGAAGGTAGTTGGCAACAGCTGGTATGTATGTATTGTACTCAGTAATAATATGATCGTGGAGCGTTTGGTGGCTACGCCAAAGGAGAGCTTCGGCTAGCGGGCTCACGGCCGCAATCATGGCTCGAAACTGCGGCGTTTCTATTACGCGAAGGCTCTGGTTGTCCGCGACTACCCAGTCCTTCAGCGCGTCCTGAAATCGAGAGGTTGAAAAGCTTGCTGCCATCTCGTTTGCTACCTCTTGCGATACTTCTATCCCTTTAGACCTCATAATATGTACTTGGGACTTTGCGAGCGCGCCCATAATATTGCCCTCCCGGCTAGCAATTGGTACAGGTCCGTTAGGTCCGTGTGAGTGTCCAGGCTTGTTGCTTGAGAGGTGTCGGCCGGCGTTTGTAGTGCTGTCAGCCTCGTAGCAAGCCTCCTGCTTCCGTCGTTGATGGCAGTACCGGCAAAGCCAGTAGTTTTTCTTGTACTTGCGGTGCCAGACGGCCCAGCCGTGGCGGTAGATCCAGCTTTTTGGCCCACCGCGACATATTACGCTCAACCTGGCGCCGCTCAAGATACGGCACACGCTTAAAATCAAGCCCGTCGTAATTGTCGTCGTCGTCGTCGTCGTCGTCGTCGTTGGGGAAGTCCGCCTGTACTGCCAAGGGCTCATCAGCCTGGGCCTCGCTCGCAGTATCGCCAACAGTAGGCGCGTTTGATAGCGATGGTAGAGGAGAATTGCGCTTGTCGCATTCTACAAGGCGGCGAAGGCCTGAATTAGAGGGAGTAGACATGAAGTACACCAAGAAGTATTATGGCAACAGTAGTCTAGCGTCGTGTGTATAGCAGACGCGACGCGACGCGACGCGAAAGGCTTACTAGGTGCGCACCGGGTAGCGCATTTCCGCAAACTCTAATTAGCTTAACATGATCCATGGGCGAGCGGCGCACACGGGCGAGCGGCGCACCCCACCAACTTTACTCACCTTACTGATCTTAATCTACAATGGCTCAACGCAGCGCTACTCAATTACTATCAAATGAAGCAGATATTCAGCTTGCTATCTCATCTATTAATGCGCACCAGATCCAAGGTACCCGTACTGCTGCAGTAGTCTACAACGTAGCCGAAACAACGCTCCGCCGCCGACGCGCTGGTATACCTGCCCGACGCGATTGCCCGCCCAACTCAAGGAAGCTTACCCAGAGAGAAGAGGAGGTGATTATTAGCTATATACTTCAGCTAGATCTGCGTGGATTTGCGCCTACCTACACAGCTGTACGTGATATGGCTGATAAGCTGCTGGCTGCGCGTGGTGGAGAGCAGGTTGGAGTCAACTGGCCATCTACCTTTGTTAAGCGTACAGACAGTCTTCGGACGTGTTTCAACCAAGCGTACGATAGGCAGAGAGCTCTTTGTGAGGATGCAACATTAATAAAGAGGTGGTTTAAGCTTGTAGAAGAGACAAAGGCTGAGCTAGGTATCTGCGATGAGGACGTCTACAACTTTGATGAAGCTGGCTTTATGATGGGCAAGATTACAACGCAGCTAGTTATAACAGGAGCAGAGAGGAGAGGCAGGCCGAAGAGTATTCAGCCAGGCAATCGCGAGTGGGTAACGCTGATCGCTGCTATCAGCGCTGCTGGCTGGTCAGTCCCACCGTTCCTCATCTTCGCTGGCCAGTACTACCTATCAGCCTGGTATAAGGAAGCTGAGATCCCACGCGACTGGGCGATCGCAGTCAGCGATAATGGCTGGACGAATAATGAGCTTGGAGTTGAGTGGCTAAAGCACTTCAACGCTCACACGCAGGCTCGTAGTGTAGGCGCGCGTCGCCTGCTTATTATTGATGGCCATAAGAGCCACCAATCTCTAGAGTTCCAGGAGCTCTGCAAGGAGAACAATATCCATACGCTCTGTATGCCTCCTCACTCATCTCACCTACTCCAGCCACTTGATGTTGGCTGCTTCTCGCCATTGAAGCGCGCGTACAGCCGTGAGGTGGAGAGCCTTATGCGCAACCACATCAACCACATCACCAAGCTAGAGTTTCTGCCAGCGTTCAAGGCAGCATTTGATCAAGCGTTCACGCCAGCCAATATCTGCTCAGCCTTCCGCGGCGCAGGCCTTGTTCCTCTACAACCAGAGGCTGTTCTATCAAAGGTAGATGTACAACTGCGTACACCTACTCCTCCAGCAGCTCTGCCAGAGGCTCCCTGGGTAGCTCAAACGCCGAGCAACGCGCGTGAGCTTGAGGCTCAGTCAAGCCTAATACGTGAGCGCGTGCGCCAGCACAAGAGCTCATCACCAGCTTCAATTATTATGGCGATTGACCAGCTAAAGAAGGGCGCCGAGGTGATGATGCTCTCTGCTGAGCTGATGCGCGATCGGATCTCTAGTCTTGAGAAGGCCAATAGCGCAGCCTCAGAGCGTAGGCGGCGCTCTAAAAGGCGTATACAGAAGCATGGAGTACTCACAAAGGGAGCTGGAGAGGATATACTGGCTCAAAATGAGGCTGACCAGCAGATTGCTCATGAAGAGCGTCAAGGAGGAGCGCGATCAGG